CACACACACACACACACACACACACACACACACACACACACACACACTCACACACACACACACACACACACACACACACACACACACACAAACACTGTCCCCCAACACAATTGAGCTGTGTGTATTTCAATATGTGTGTGTGTTTGACTGTACCTTGATATCATTAGAAAGCCTCTCCCTTGATTTAGATACACAGTAACAGCAATATAAACATAAAATCTTTCATTTTCTTCACTTTTTCAGCAATTCACCAGCAGCAAGGCAGCCTGTCCATCACTCTGTTGGCACGTCACTGACCTCTGCTCCCACATATGGTAAACATGGAGTTTCTTCTGTTTTGGCTGTGCAACACGGTTTCTCACTGTGATTTTCTCACCGTCTCTGCCATAGCATTGATACTGCTTTAAGAAGTTTATAGTATTTATTGTCTTTCTCTCTGCATAAGTTGATCATGTTCTGCTCTTCCTTGAATCCAACAAAAGACATGTGCACTTTCAGTGTGCGCGCCACTCATTTAATCAAGCAGCATATATTTGATCTTGGCTTTCAGTAATCTAATTGAACATCCCATGATTCTCTTTCATTGCCGCTGTTGTCTTCTGCTCTGGTATTTCGCATTTTAGATGAAGCTGATGTGAACACAGAAAGCTTTTGCAGTTTTTTCCTAGATGGGTGGAGAGGAAGCCCACACAAATAGGAAGTGGAACTCGGAAGACTTGATTAAAGATTAGCTTTATCCTATTGTGTTTCCTGGAAATTAGTCCAGAATGGAGCCAGCCTAAATCATTTCCAAGATCCGTTTTGAATTGACGTAGCTGTTAAAGGCAGGGATTGCTTTTTCATAGCAACGCATCCAAAAACAACATTTGCTGAACAAAAGAGTGCTGAACATTCTACTGTTACTTTACTTCGACAGTAGAACGTCTTTCCCCTGCAAATGACACCATGGAGCTCACACCAAAGAAAGAAGAGAAGAGGGTATGTTTATTGGATTTTCTTGTTACCTTAAAGGCTTGAAGATGTTAAAAAAATCCATTTTGTTATGTGGGTTTAAGTGGCATATTGGTTCATTCTGAGTTGTTCATGCATCTGTGCCAATCTTTCTTGAACGCTGTATGTTTTGTTTGTTTTACCAGATGAAAGCAGCGCGAGTCAAGTTCAATTTCCAGGCTCAGTCACCCAAGTGAGTAGATCGGCTGTTTCCTTAGTCATTCACATCTCTGTTACAGCACTATCAGATTTAAAGCTGTCAAATCTGGAGTCTAAATTCTCTTCATGATGCACATTTCAAACAATCAATTCATTTTGAACAAATTGAACTGTTCGACTCATTATTCTTATTCCTTTATTTAGGGAGCTCATGCTGCAGAAAGGCGACATTGTTTACATCCACAGGATGGTTGATGCCAACTGGTTTGAAGGAGAGCATCACGGAAGAGCTGGCATTTTCCCCACGACTTATGTGGAGGTGAATTTCTTCATGAGTCTCATTTGATGCTGTTTCTCTGCACTGTTGCTTTGCGCTGGTTATCTAAACCCTGTGATTACTATACCTTAAAACTCTTTCCCTCGTCTTCCATAGATTCTGCTTCCCACAGAGAAGCCAACGCCTATTAAGTCCCCCACTCTACAGGTGTTGGACTACGGGGAAGCTGTGGCTCTGTTTAACTTCAATGCTGACCTACCTGTTGAACTTTCTTTTCGGAAAGTGAGTATTGCAGTGCTGCGGTAACAGAGATGAAGGTGCTTTGTCTTCACATTTGTATTGAAACACATGAATTTATAATACAATGAATTTGAAAATCGTATTAGCACTTAAAGACATTTTGATATTTTGTCCGAGTTAGATGGGAAGATTCATACTACTCCCAATGTCTCTATGTTAAATGGGAAGCTACCAGCAGCTGGTTAGCTTAGCTTAGCATAAAGACTGGAAACACAGGAAAACAGCTGTCTCTCTAACAACCAGCCTAAAGCTCAATGATCAAGATAGTATATGTTGTTTGTTTAATCTGCATGAGAAACATGACAAAATGACTTGTTGCACTGGGCCGCAGTTACAAGGTTTGCATATTGCTGGCATTTTAGAGCCGCATAGGAAATATACGAACACTTAAGTGTTTAAATTTCATTAGATAAAGTGTTGTTCTCTGTGTAATGTCTAACTTTTCTAGATCCTCTTATTTTCCTCAGGGTGAGACGATCAATATAACGAGGCGTGTTGATGATAAGTGGTTAGAGGGGAGGATCTCAGGGACCAACCGGAGCGGCATCTTCCCAGCCAGTTACGTCCAGGTCAACAAGATGCCCCGCACCAAATTCTCTACTGATGACTCCTCACTGGGCCCCCTGTCTCCTGGCTCCCCTGCACCTCAGAGTCCAGGGCGTCCGCTCCACTCACCCTGCCCGCGGTCACCATTGTTTCCCTTCACCCCCTCTTCCCTCAGCCCCAACCCTGAGCACTCCCCACTGAAGCCATCTTCCCCTGTACCTTATGGTAGCCCAGCTTCACAGTCTCGCTCCCCCACCCAGTCACCTGTATTCAAAGAGACGGCCAATCGGTGGCCCTCCAAAAATGCTTCGCTAACCAACCAGAACAGCCACTGGATTGGGACACACTCTGCTGACCATAGCTCCGTGGCTAGAGCTGTTTCGCCTTCCACTCAGTCGTCATCGTCTGTACACAGAGCTGGAGCTTCCACAGCGAACACGTCTCCCAGATACACTGACCCCTCACAGGTCTGCTTGCACTGCACTGCCCGAGAAAGTCACTGCATGCCCACACTCATGGTGTCACTGTTTATGTTCATAGGACTGCTGATTATCATTCCTTATTTCATAATGCCTGATGTGAGGTTTTTATTTTTTCCAGGGGGCAATCCCAAACCAGGCTGCTGGATTTAATCCACGCGGTAACTCCCTGCCACAAACACAAGTGTCAAACAACCCTGATTCAACAGTGGGGCAACGCAGACCGTACGTCTCCACATTTTTATTTGTCCACATTGTTGCAGCTTTGGTGAATTTGTGGCATACAACATTTGTTTTTTTCATTTTTTCCGCTGATCTCTATTTTAGATATAAAGCTGTTTACAACTACAAACCACAAAATTCAGATGAGTTGGAGCTCAGAGAAGGAGACATTGTAAGAGTGATGGAGAAATGTGATGATGGCTGGTTTGTAGGTAAGGAATAAAGTGATTCATTTCTAAATAAACCACTCCCTCAATATAATTCCCATGGAAACAGCACAGTGAAGCAGGATATGTTAAGATTGGTGACAAATTGAAGAGGAGAAAAAAAACATTTGTCTCGATTTTATGCCACCGCGAGCCTCCAGAACAGCTTTAACGCTTCTGCTGGAGAGATGGAACATCAATCTCCTAAAATATAATCCCTTGTCTGGTGTTATTGAAGGGAACTGACTAACAAGTCCCTCCAAAATCTCCGACATGTGATGTTGTTGTCAAAAGCCGTGATTGACATATTTTTAATTGTGATCAAACCATTCAGGAGGCCTGTGTGTCCTGTAAGAAGCATCTGCATCATTTTAGCCTTTAATTTGTCACCTTCCTGTAGGATGAACAGTATTTTTTTTTTATTGTTAAATCTGTGATGGAGCATATTCTGATTCCTCAACAGGGAATCAATCAAGATTTTCCATGAAGTAAAAGATTGGGATTTTATGGTCTATAGTCTGTAGTATTAAAAAAAAATCATGACATTTTACATGAAAGACCAAAAGACAAAGCTTATCATAAAAGTACAATTAAAACAGTTATTTAAGAGCCAAGAGAATAGAAAATAAAAATAAGACGGGTATAAAACACAACAATAAAAGTTACAATGCAGTATAACGAATTATTTATTAAAAGGCAGCGGTAAACAAGTTAACCTTGATATATATGTAGTTATTTTAGTTTCATTGTGACCAATATTAAAACAAGTCCTCCCTCTAGTGGACATCATGGAACATTGCAGATGTAATTGGCTCAATAAACTTAAATTAAACTGCATTTTTTTTCAGTTTGAGAATAAATGCATACATTTGTTTGTTTCTGCTGTGTGACCATGGCACCTGCTCTGTTCTTTGTAGGTACGTCAGAACGGACCCGTGCTTTTGGGACTTTTCCTGGGAATTACGTGGCACCTCTTTGACCTCCTCACTTCCTGCTTGCCCACATCCACCTGGACTCATAAGAGCCCAACCAACCAGTCACTCAGCTCTCTCCAACAGATCGCTCTTTGGCACTCCAGCATTTCTTCATCCCGTTACACCCATCACACTCCCAAACCTAGTCAGACCTGCATGTTCACTCTGTTTTCCAGAACAGAGGTGAAGGCAGTGACAATGAGTGGTTTCACCTCACCTCCCTGCATGAGTGCATGTGTGTGTGTGTGTCCACTGAGTCTTGGAGAGTGTTTTCACACACCCCATTTGAGAGGAAAGAATGAATGCTGATGATACTGTTTCAGATGCAAAGAATGGACTTTTTTGTTCCACAACTATTTGCAGCTGCAGGAAATTTGCATTCCATCCCAGTGAACAGTGCTGTTCCTTCTGAGGCCCTGATACAGTATGATGCTGCATTCAGCTTTTGTGTCACCACAGTGCCATCACAACACACTGCTGACAATTAACGAATTAGGATGGCACATTTTTCAGGCATTTTGATTGACTAACGTTTCCTTCAAATATCTTACCCAGATTTTCTTTCAGATCTCTGAAAATACCGTGGGCAAGTTTGAGGAAACCACACGAACAAGTGCGCTTAAAGTAAAGCACAGTGCGGGCTCGGACATGTCAAGAGAAGTTTACAGCCTTTCGCGAGGCTATGCAGAAGAGCAAATATAATTAATGCGCGTACTGTTTTCATAAGCAAGTTATTCATTAAAGAATATTTGGCTTTTTTGGATCTCTCTCAAGCCATGGAGTAGAATGCCAAATGTTAAAGTAATGAGATAGATCATGTAATGTGTTGTAAGAGAAGCTGCTTTGCTCTGAAATAAAAAGTCAAACCTCTGTAAATTGTAGCTCAGCTGCGTTGAATAACTTTAAAGTTAAAAATGAACATTTCCTCTAAAGCAAATGGTTGAATGATCTTTTGAAGTATTTGAAATATGTGCCAAATTTGACCTTTCATGATATTTCTTTTTAAAATGATCCATTTAACATTCCCAGCTCATTTTCTTTCTACTACAACTGCTTTCATAATGTGTTCTGCTTACAGGGTTAACATTCTCCCTTCGGCCGTATTTCCAAAATCACTTATGTTTGTACCAGTGCAACCTTTGACAAGTGTGACGTCATTAGACATCCTTATTATGAGGTAATTTCGCAATTTTATATGACTGTTCATGATTGTACAGACTGTAACCTTTTATCAAATTTAAAGTATAATATATATTTGCTTATAAAACAATGTATCTCATATGTATGGTACGTACAATTTTCATTAAACATTACAGAGTGATATTGAAAGTAGCTTGTGTTTATTTTGTCAAATGCTTGTCATATATGGTAATTCAACAAACACATAAGGAAAGTATGAAGCTGACCAGCAGGGACGACTGAGAGAATGTCAGGCACAGCTTCAGTATAGCTTCACAATCAAATCTAAATACATTCAATGACAGTATTCTTCTTCTCTACATAAAAACAAGGGCACTACAGTGTTGATCACACTTATATGTTTGGATAGTCTGACAGTGTTACACCGTAAAAAATATTTGTGGGTATATATACTGTATATATGTACATATGTTTATGTATGTATATGAAATCTAAGAAATATCTAACAAATGTGAATAAAAGTCGACATCAAAATCTCTTTCATGAAGCTTAGATTTAATAAACGTCTTTCATTGTGAAATTCTTATGTTGATTTTAAGTGGGGCTACTTTCCCTCTGACAAGAATGTGAGATTATATAGTGAGTTTAAGAACATATAAAATACAAAATATCTTCAGTAAAGATACAAATTTAATAAAAAAAAAGAAAACCTGCTATATTTATTTGATATAGATCAGTTTATAAGTCTAACCATCTAATCAGCGACCTACCTACGCCCTTTATAATTAACAAGCCAGAAGGACAGAAAGGTGAACTACGTAGTCAATAGTACGTCACTGGTTTGATTGACGTGGCTCTGACGTGGCTCTGGTTGGAGCGCATGCTGCTCTGCCCCGCGCCGTCAGAAGGTGGCGCGCGCAGACACAAAACGCAGCCCGGGAGTGTTTTCAGGATAAATGGCTCAATTATCACTGCCGCACCCTCCTCTCTGAAGCGACACGCCCAGTTTCGCTGTCTCTGTCAAACCTTTTATTTTGGTAACAGCACATGGCACTCCGAGCTCGACGCACTGATTCCATTGCGCGCGCAGCCACAGGTGGCGTTCTTATGTGCCACCACCTTAACGTCTGAGACGCCAGAAGAGAGACGAAGACAAGGGACTAACAGCGCTTCATCTCCGCTCCGCTGCTTGAAAAAAAAAAAAAAAAGAAGCTGCTTTCTGCTTTTTTTGCTCGCATTTTGGACGCGGTTGTTGTTTCAGGCAGAGTTGAACTGGGACCAGTGCAGTCTGCTGGGTGTGTGCTCAGCGTGTTGTCGAGGAGCGCGCCGAGATTCAACAGGTGGAGAAGAAGGCACCTGAAATCCCTGCACTCACCTTGGTAAGTAAACATGGCGTTATTAGGTTTCTCAACAGCCTCTTGGGTAACTCAAAAGCTGGATTTGATTAATTAATCAAAACTCCAGTGGGTTAAACGCTTATTTGTTGGGGGAGCAAAACGAGTGTCCCTTTCCCACTTTTTTGGTGTTTTTAATGGCACATTTCCGTTTAACTAATGTGATATGTTGTTTCATGGCAGGTATTGTGATTTATTATAGGTTTGTTGAGGTCATTAAGCCCGATAGACTCGTATATCTTCATCAAATGTGTGGGAGCCTCGGAGCATGCAGTAAAGCATTGCTAAATTATGACTGGTGCCAAGTATGCGCACTTAAGGTGTGCATCATTCGCCTGTGAGCTTTTTTTTGGCTAACTATGCGTGATATATGTGGAAAGTAAAAGTCAGTCTCACTGACGGGGGGAATCTTAGGCCCACACACAGTGCCAGTTTCCACCTTGTTCTGGAGACTTTCCACCCTGTTGATGCCTCTGTGTTCAGGAGAGCAGGGAAGGTTATTTTCTTTGCACATCAAGCAGTCCCTGTGACTTTGTGCAACCTCAGGACTCTGTAAAGTCCGTATTTATGTCGCAATAGTTGAACTGGTGAACCAGCTATCTTCTCTCTCCTAAAGTGGCCCTCTGATGGCTCCGAATTAGTCAGGTCCACTGTAGTTCAAGTTAAACACTGTACTCTCTTTGCTTAAGTGTCTAGATGTGACTGTTCCTCCAGTTCACTCACTCAAGAAGAAACAAATGGACCTTGCTTGCGAGTTGAGCAGGTGGGAAAGCGCTTTGAGGTGTTGCACAGAGTTCATGTATACTCCAGAACATTCCCAATGAAACCTCATTTTGCCAAAACCCCACCAACTGCTGTTTTGTGTACCTTCCCGGTTATGATGCATGCTCTACCTAACCCCACCTCTCACTTTATAGTTGGCTTCCTTTCGGCTTTGCTTTGTCTTTTTTTTTGTTTTTTTTTTGGGAAGAAAATGGTGCTGTTACTCCGATAGGATAGTCCTAAAGCCATCCAGGAACCAAAAAACAGACCACTGTAATTTTAGATCGAGCAAAGTGGTGGCTTTTCAAGAAAACAGGGAAAACTGGTTACCTTCTAACTCGGGGAAAGAATTTGTTTGTTTTACAACTGCATTGAGGATTTAACCGCAGCAAGGACCATGTTGTGTTTTTTTCCCTTTTAGATCAAGGCCTGTAACAGGCAGCTTTCCTCTGTGATGACCATGTTGACAGTTAGGCAGGAAGTTAATATAATCTGTTAAATCTGAAATGATGAGTTTTTTTTAATCTGTGGTTTTCAGTTTTAGCTGATGAGGCAGAGGCATCGCACGATATTTGACTGTTCATTCTTTCACGTTGCATCAAACTCTGTAGGAACGACACGTTTCTCACACAGTGTCTAACAGGCTTCTGAACGCACTGAGGTGCAACAGTGTATTTTAAGAGCGTGCAAGTAACGAACAAAGTGGCAGTTGGTGTGTCTTTCGTGAGGAGGGCCCGATTTGTGAAGGCAGAGGATGTGGTGAACTGCTCTGATTGTCGAGCAGCAGAGTGTGGAGCCTGTTCAGTGTGAACAGCAGTAACATGATCTCCAGATGATGATGATGATGCAGAGGGGGAGATAAGTGAAGCCGCCACCACAGTGTCCTTGTCTTGTTACAAAGCGTACATCCCAGTGGACACAATCCAGTCCACTGTAACAGAGCTACAGCAAATTGGTAAAAGGGATGATGGGTAATCTTAGAAATTGTCTTTTTTTTATACTGCAGAGGATACGATTAATGTAACATTTTTAAGAGTGTGTTACAGCATGAAACTCTACGGGAGCGTGCGCCCTTAAAATTGTAAAGGGAGTAACCCACAGAAAGTACAGGAATGGCTAAATGTATAATTACTTTGACACATTTACTTTTATCAATACACTAAATATATATATGACGGTACAGAAACTCATTAACCAACACCCTGTTTGATGTCTGATGTTATTTTCTCATCTCCTTAGCGACTGAAGCTACATCTGACCAAATGCGTGTGATTTGAGAATGCTCAGAATGTTATTTCGCTCTATTCAGTCCAGGGAGAGGCTTGCTGTTGCATTCCTTTCCTATTAAATTCAGTGGGCGTGTGTCCAGGTAGGTGCCGACCTGTTGGTGCGGTGCGTGACGCATAGGGCAGAGTCAACATAGGACCGCATCACTGACTATAGCTGTGGAAAGTTCCCGCCGGTGTGTATGGCCACCAGCGAGAGCTTTTGACAAGTGTGATTCACACCAGGAATATTCCCCTCCCCCCCCGCAGCCACGGTGGATCATATGAGTGAGAGAGAGAGAGAGAGAGAGAGAGAGACCCCCCCACAGCTTGAGCGTCTGGTGTGTTCATCAGCAGTTTCTTTCAGTATTGACATGTCGGAGACACTGTGCTTGTTCATTCAATCCAGGGGATTTCTGCCCGGAGTTCAGGGAGAAGACAAACAGTCTCGGTTAAGACCTCCAGTGATTCAGGGAAGAAGGTGAAGAGTTGATGTAGGTGGCCAGGTTTGGCTGCCAGATATTTTATTATGCAGAGCTTTAGTCGGCAGTCTTCACACTTAATCTAATGCCTTTCAGTTCATGAATATTTGACTTCCACTGCAGTGCACATGGTAGCAACTTGCTTTTCCACATGTTACATTCCTCTGAGTGAATGAGGTGTTAATTCTGAGGATTAGCGAAACATAGTGATGGAAATGGTTTCCTGCGATGCGCATATTTATTGGTTGGCCGTGTGCTCTTTCCATCTCCTGCATTTCCCCCCCCCCCCCCAACTCTGGTCAACATGACAACTGGTTGCTCTAACTGTGTTGTGATGCCGTGCTGATCAAAGTTAATGACTCATCAGGTTTGAGTCATAATTCCGCAGATTACACATAGTTTCAGACTTGTGTCAGCAGGTTTTGCTCGTTCAGCCCATGCTACTCCTAACTGCATGTTATGGGTACGCTAGGTTATTTAAACATGCTAAATTAAAGATTGCACATCAGCCAGCCGCCCCTGACCGCCAGGGAGTTACACTGAGGCTTATAGCTTGTCTTTTCTCATTCGTACCTGCAATTCTGTACAGTACATTAATATCCTACACCAAGAGTAATTAGCAAACTGTTGAATCTTTATTCAATATAGCAAAAATTATGAGCGATATTACTATTAATATATAATCCTATTTGTTTTAGCTTCACTAATCAATTTGGTTATCTGATACAGTGGTGTTCTTTCAATCATTTAGTTTTCACCCTGAGCACAAAATGTGTTTTTGAAAGCTTTTTGCAAATGCAAACCCCTCGGGGCTCTCTGCATGTTGGAGCAATGAGCCTTGAATCCAACATTAGGATAGGCCACTACCTCTTTTGCCTGTAGGGACAATCTCTCAGATGTGACAAGTGCCAAAAGGTCGTTAACATAAAGAGAGTATACACGACTGGCTTAGATTTCCCTCAGAGAGCGTGAAAATGTCCCTTATGGAAACTGAATCTGAGCTCATTATGGTCTTGTATATCTCCTGCCACACTGAAGTGTGCTTTTATGCAACATGACAAGGAGCACAGTGATATGAGTAGCTTTAGCAGCTCTTTAAGGCACAATGATCCTCTGCTCCAGTTCAGTGGTGGACACGGTCCTAAGAGCTCAAGTGTCCACTGCTCACATGCCATAAACACTTTGTTAGATGCAGTACGGGAAATCGTATGTAAATACAAATTCTGGGAGGTATATTGCCTCATAACACTTAATAATGAAATTGGGTGGATGAAATGTTCACACAAAAGGCTCTGAAAATTGTGAAAAACCTATTCAAAGCCTAAGTTGATGATATTTACTTGTTTTGTCAGACCGACAGTCTGAAATCTAAAGATATTTAGTTTAATCATAAGACCAAGAAAAGCAGTAAGTCCTCAACATTTAGCAGCTAGGGTGAAAATATACTAGCGACTAATTGAAGATCCGAATAGTAATTGATCGAGTAGTAGTAGTCGATCAATATTAATTGATCGACTAATTGTTTCAGAGCTACAAACTAGCAGAAACGCCTCATAATACATTTCAACAGCACGGCCTTCTAAAGCCTTCAAAATTCCTAAAAAACGTTGACTCAACACAACACTTTTAACCAAAACTGAATATACAATGTAGGATTTGTTATATTAGACGGCATTATTTTGAGCTAGGTGTACCGGATAAACCTGTCCAGGAAATTTGGATGCTGCTTCTTGTAGTCTGTCAAACTTGACACCGTGACGTTTGTTGGTACGTAGGAATGCAGGTAAGTCGTTTGCCGTTCCATTGCGTTAGTCAGAAGTGAGTATTTTACTTCGTACACCTTTTTAGCACCGGTTTCTATTCTCCTCAGACTGACCTCCTGCCGTGCGGCTGATGCTGAAATGACTTCATGACTGGAATTCCTCTCTTTGTCTGTTTAATTGCGCTGCCAGATTGGCGTGGCCGCAAAGGCAGAGAGAACAGAAGTCGTCTCTTATGTGAATTGGCAGCTACCCAACAGTACTTTTGTGTGTGATGGCGAGTTCTCATGTTCAGCACTTTGTTTTATGTGAGCAGCAGTGCAGTCTTAAAACCTCATCCGTGTCCAATTAAGCGCAGCCCACGAGTGTGGCACTTATTCTCACCACCGCTGTGTGTTCTCCGCTGTTTGTCCGCTCTGCCGCATACTTTCACCATCCTTTCACTTTGACATTATCCACTACCAGCGCTTTTATGACACCAACAGACGACGTTTACGCAGGGAATTAGCAGGCTGCTCGCTTGATAATGACCGCTCTATAGGAGAAGCGGCAGAAGCTCATGGAACTAATTGACACCCCCAGCGGCTGGGAAATTTCGGGATGGCTGCTCCCTGTTGTTGAGGAGGCCATCGCAATTAAGAGACCCTAATGCTGGTGAGCCCAGTAACCCTGCTAATTGGCCCAGACTGTTAATGGCTTACTGGGTCGGCACTGCGTGTCCCAAACACTTGTGGAATGTGCAGCCCATGAACTGGGCCAGTGTTTGGAGGGATTTAGGGGAGCAATGTGGCGGATGTCTGACTTCCAGAGGTTTTACTTCTATTGTCTTTTAGAGACTCTATTATGCAACACTTGTAATCATTGACAGACTTATCACTTTATTTATAGACATTGAGTGAGATTTACATTCCAGTGTTGGCCACACTATTCTGTCTGGTAAGCAGTGCTTTGGGTCAACCTGAACTTTCGAGTATAGTAAACTTTATCTTGAGCTCGTATTAACCATATTAACCTTTGACTAACTGATATAGTTACAGTATGTATTCAGAGGGGCAAACGCATGGTAAGGCCTTAATTACTTGATTCTATCTATTCTGCTCAATGTTTGTATGACTTTGCTTTTCTCTGAGCTTTAAAATCATAGCAATGACTATGGTGATGACAATAAATGTAAAACCCACAGGTCAAAGTGACAGTGTAGTTATGTTAATAACTAGGAAAACGAATCCAGCATGGCATTGCGTCTCTGTAGAAAGCAACGGTCAACTATTGGGTGTAAGTTCTGCACTCACTTTCAGAGGTTGATGCAACACCAGGCCCTGTTTGTGTTGTGAGTTAAGCAACAGATAATTTAAAATTGTTTGGGTGTAGACCTTTCCTTTTTTGAGAGTCTATACTTAAAATAGCTTATGTCATTGTCTACATGTGCACCTATATATTACGTGTAGCACTAATGTCTTCGGCTAAAGTAAATGCAGTTTCAGACACAGCAGCTGCGTGTGTGTATGCGTGCACTGTGCGTGTGTGTATGCGTGCACTGTGCGTGTGTGTATGCGTGCACTGTGCGTGTGTGTATGCGTGCACTGTGCAGGTGTTGATGAGATGTTTATGGACCTCTAAGTGCTCATCCCATCATCACTGACCGCCACAGAGCTCTTGTGTCTCCACATGCAGTCCTACAACAGACGAGCTTCATCTTCAGCTGTGAGCAGTCAAACTGGCAATTAAATCGCAGGTTATCCTCAATTCAAAAAGCAGCATCAGCATGACTATTTCAATGTCTTAAAAAGCGCATTCTGCTCCAGTTTTAGGCCCATCAATATTCTAGAAGATGGTGTAAATGTTAACTGGGGCGGGATCCAGAGGCAGATGCTCAACTGTTACGGGTTTATTGAGAATGTATTTAATGCCGACATCAGTGTCATGTTTTGGACCCTTTCCTACCTCGTTATCACTCTTGTCATCGTATTCATGTCACACTTGGGAGGAGGGGAATTGACTCATGAATAGCTTGTTGGCAGGAATGCTTAAACACATGCAGGTGTTTGGAGCAGTTAGTCAAGCAACATAAAGCTTGCTAGCCAATGATCCTTGAGATGGCCTCACTTTTCGCACACAGTATTTGTTTACTCATACAAATTGTTTTTGCGCGTCTACACTAATGAGCTGTTTCAGATCTGCTGGAAAAGCACGCAAAATACTGTCATCACCAATTATGACTTCGCAATCTGTAATATTTTGAAAGCTCAATCCATACCGATAATTTAAAGCGCTACATCTGGGGGATCCGTTCCTTGTCTGTCTTATCATGCAGATTTGTGATGGATTCAAATGATTAACATTGCTGACTGTCAACCCCGAGACAATGTTCAGATTAAGAGATTTGTCCCTGATCGGAAAGCAAAAGAGACCCCTGGATGATGTTACAGCATGATTTGTTTTTCTAAGTCTCTCTTGAAGACTCTTGTCTTTAACAGAATAGAACAATGAAAAACCCTCACATGGTTTTGCTATACTTTGGCATCTCCAAGGATTTGATTTTTAAACACTTAATTCACTGTTTGAGTTTTAGAAATTCAAAACATACTTAGTGGAAAGCAATGTCTATACATTTTTGTGCAAAGCTGAACCATACAAATATGAAATATCCACCAAGGACCTACACATTTACAAACAAACTGCATTGTTGGACACGTTTGTATATACACAGCCCGTTCTTATAAACAAGTCTTAAAGGGCTTCTATACTATATGTTGTGATATCATACTACACCACTGTATACATTGAACGCAATGGTCACAGTGAAACACTACAAAACGTTCAGCTCCTTGTGTGCTTGCACGACATTTTTGTTTGCACGTTGCATGACAGAGCATTTGGATTTAATGAACCTCTTTGGCGTTGCAGGCACTTTAGCATTGTTAGTCATGTGTCTTTGGTTTCAGATTCTTCCAATTCGTGTTTGATGTGTTTGCACAATCCATATCATGGGGACTTGGGCCTGTGGAAGTGAAGTGTCGATGCAGATGAAAGGCGGATTATGCAAATGTTCACTGTCTTCACTTGTTGTTTATGCAAATGTTCACTGTCTTCACTTGTTGTTTATGCAAATGTTCACTGTCTTCACTTGTTGATTATGCAAATGTTCACTGTCGTCACCTGTTGATCTAATATTAGGCCTGGCCAGCAGAAACTTATTTAGACGAGCATATATTTATGTCCCAGATGTTACACATACTCATGCTCACTGTGTTCCTCTTTTTTTTCTTTTTTTTTTTTCTTTCAGGGTTTTGACAAGTGTGCAGATCTGATCACTAAATGGCGCTGACGGTGAACCTTATCGGTCCTTCGCCATGGGGCTTCAGAATACATGGAGGAAGGGACTTCAAGAAGGCCATAACTGTATCAAAGGTACTCATCAAAAGCCGCCCTGTTGCTGAACCTCGTCACACCTTATCAAATCATATCCTCTGTTTTTGTCAAAACAGTCTGTAATGTCATGCAAAGTCAACTTCCTCCTCACTATGTCTCTTTTCTTGTCTTTGTTTGTGTCCGCGGGCTGCCTCGTACCTATTTCCTTGACTACTGAACCCGTTGGAATAGAATGGAAGTAGATTACATTAGAAGGAAACCACTGATTACAGTTGAGGTGGGAGGCGAGGGGTTCCTGATCCCCAGAGTGCAGTCTGAGAGTGTTGGTTTGCGTTTCTTTGCTAGCTCTTGAGCATTACAACATGCATCAGTAAGTTCCCATTCACAGGGAAAAAAAAAAAAAGGTGGAGATGGAGTAGAAGAAGTGGAAACGTTACCACTGTAAACAGACGGCGCACACAGTAAACACCATCAGGAAACCTTCTGCATGCCAGAGACGCCCAGTTCTGCCCACTGCACATTCTGGTGCTACATCACCACCTCAGCCTGTTTTTACCAGTGAGACTACAAAAGATAAGTTATTGCTGAATCATGACAGGGTACCAGTGCTTCACACCGGCCTTGACTTCAAAAGCATTTATTGTTTGCCCCCTCTTGACAACGTATTCATGAGAAGAGCTGTTTTTCTATCATGAATCAGATTTGGTTACTGCTAACCAGTAAACAACACCAGCATGTTTGCTTGTCTAAAATATCAAACAGGTTCTCTGAAGGGACGGAGATTCCTGCTGAGGTAGAAACTTTATCACTGAAATTGGTTTGCAAACCCTGTTTGTGAAACGGCTTGTCTCACCCCATCGCCGTCCCTCCCCACCTTGCAGTTTAGCAACCACAGGGTTGGCCCATCTGAAGTGGTTTGCACTTGACACGACATGGATGCCCTCTTTTAATCCTGTTGACCTGAAAGATAGCTTGCCTCCGTTTCACTCGGGCACCGACCCTGGAAAAGAACCCCCAACTGCTGTTAGTTTATGTGAAACCAGGCGTGTCCTGATCAGAAAAGGCACGCGCTATTGTGGGTCACCACAGCAACGCTTAATTGCCTCTCGAGTGGGCCCACAGACATTGGCCCTCTGCCCTCTTGCTTGGCTAAACTGACAAACAGCCTGTCGACTGGCACTCTACTTCTATCCATATTTTCCTCTAGATATGCAAGAATGAGTCTTTCATCCTCTCTGATTGGCTCTTTTATTTGTTTTGTTTTGCATTCTTTGTTTTATTGCCTCTCTGTTTTTAATTGTGAGGAGAGCACTGTTTGACGAATGTCATACTTCCACTCTGAAGTTTTACCAGCGTCAGCCTCTGCATTTCGCCTTTTGTTTTAGTAAGCCTGCGTCTTTGGGTGTGTGTGCCGGGGACAAAGGAACTGAGCTGAAAGCGGTAGCTAGGATGTTGTGTTTCAGCCCATTAGTGTGGAATTCCCTCTGATGTAGTGGTGTAGCATTGGCTTTGACATGCGGTGAGGATGGTAGTGTCGCACTAATAACTTCTCCCCGAGGACGTCATGAATCTGTCCGCTGTCGACCGGCACTGCCTCGATCCATGCGTGTGAACCGCAGTGGCGTCGGCTGGTATTCGCTGTGAAAGTTACGCGTTGTAGAGAGACCGTTGCATTAAGAGTTCATTAAAAACGTGTGGGGCAATTCGTCAACACCTTTTTTTTTTTTTTTTCCCTCATTTACTCATTTGTTAATGCTGAATGTCAGTCACTGAAAAATTGTCCACACAGTCTTGATATACAGAGCTGTCTGTACTCGCCAGATGGATAGCATCCATAAAGTGTAATGGTCAGAGCAGGACCTGGGGCCAGTAAGACCTAACTGGAGCTCATTCTTTTGTTCAACAGGTCAACGGGGGCAGCAAGGCAGAGAAGGCTGACCTGCAACCTGGTGACATTATCTTGGAGATCAATGGGGAAAACACGGCCGACATGCTGAACGTGGAGGCCCAGAACAAGATCAAGAACTCAAAGACTCAGCTGCAGCTGGCGGTGGAGAGGTACGCTGAAATGCAGATTTGCAAAAAGCAACCGCATTTCCTGCTAGTTTTAGGTTGTGCGTGTTGAATTTTAGAAACATGAAATGCATACAGTCCCATGGAACCTTCTGCAGCATCGTTCCCCATATGAATATCCCTCATTTTCTGTGTTTGTGCCAAGACCACAGTTGCCTCAGCCTCTATCTTAATTGACATTGTTTTTGACGTCATGCGGGCACTGTACAAACAAAAACAAGTGATTGTAATCAGGGGAAATGCCAGCATGTACGAGAGCCACAGTGTTCCCTTCCCACAGTTGCCAAGACCCTGTGTGGAAGACGGGGAGTTGGCTACTTAAAAGGTTTTCCTTTGAGCCAGGACTGCTGTTGGCTGGCATTTTGATTAAAGGTCCTCCCTAAATTCTCATTTATTGTCACTGTTGCTCCCAAAAACTCACTTTCTCTCTGCACACACAAACATGCACCCACACACTCTCACGCACGTGTGCTTTCACACACTTCCTCCTTGGATGTCCCACGTCCATGTGAGTGAATTTTTCCCTGCTGACTTCATGTCTCCTACCAAGCCAGAAACAACACCATTACTTCTTGCCTGCCCAGGACAATGCCACTGTGTAGTCCTGCCATGTCTTTAATCCCACTCTGTTAACTGTCAGCGGTTTTCAGCATCAAGGCTGTTGAGTACCTCACAGGCTCTTGTCTTAACACCACTCGTCAAGCAGATTATCTATTTGAATTTCATTCAGATAAGCTCTCAAGAGGTGTGTAATGGAGAAGCAGAAATCTGTAGTGTTTGATTTGTTCTTTGCTTAGTTGAGAGCCCTCCCTTTTTCCAGCTCAACATCTGGTTGGCAACAACTGTCATCACACTGATGCTGTTGCCCACTGGAAGAAGTTGGCATCGGCTGTTTTTAGGCGTGTCTGCTGTTTTAAACATGAGGCAGTGGTTTATTGTTGTGCATCCAACGACATGTTCATCCCAGACTTTGCTAACTGGGGTTATTTTTACATAACAAAGCAACGACAGCATCACTGTCTTGTCACTGACCCTGAAACCGTTTGTCTGGCTTTGTTCGCGCCTACTTGTTTGGACTTCATTGTCCATTGATGCCTTGCGGATGATGTCATGTTGACCAGAGCAGTTGTCTCTCTGTGATACCGTTGCTCTCTCTAATGGCGTTGGCCGTCAGAGCCCCTCGTGGGTGTAGTTTTACCACACAGCTATACTGGTTCCTCTTGCATGTACTGCTATGTGTGTGTGCATCCTGCAGCTAGCATCATTATTTAATTTGGTCACCAAAGATTCAGAACACTTACTGTTAAACTGCTATTGCTGCAACGGCAAATACCATATGAACCTGACTGCATTTCTTTGAGTTTGGCTTGATTGGTCAAGCAGCTTGGCTAAGTATCGAACCTCAATAGAATGTTGGGTGAAGTCAATTTCATTTATATTGACCAAAATCCCTGCATTTGCCTCAGAGGTCCGTAGACCCTCATAAGGACACAGCTCAATAAAAGTACATTTTATAATAATTGATATATTAAATTTGAGAAGAAACGTGTAGTGCAATCTGTAAGTAAGTTACTGAAAGTTGGTGTTCAAATTTCTGGTCGGCTTCAGTTTTGTTTACTTATTTAAAAATCTGAAACTATTTTTCAAAAGTATCTCTTTGGCAACATTAGCTCATAGCAGCACAATGAACAATTAGAACGATACCAGGTCCTATAAAGTAGGGGCTTGCCTCGTCCTAAATACTGGTCACAGCTTGACACAAAGTATCTAACTTTCGCTTTTTGTGGATTTGAATCCTCTTGAACTCAATATTGCGTTGTTTCCATTATGACAACTGAAATATTAGAGAGGTATTCTTACAATGCACATGTTTGAAGACACTGCCTCAGGCAGTTTAACTGCTTGTCCTCTCGATGACAGCTCTTCACAGCTAGTATCATCAAAGAGTTTCACGTGCTGATTTTAGTCAGTTGTATATAACTGTGATATAAAGTCAGTTGGCATTTTCACCAGAAGCAAATTATTTTTCTGTATTGGAGACGTATAAACAGAGTAGACCAGACACTGCTCTGATCACTGAACTTTAATACATCTCACTTCCTTTTAAAGCACAGGGAGAGCATTTTTCCGGCATGCAGTTCCAAATTGAAGAGTTTTTCATGCCTGTCACATTAATATCTCTCCTACAGGAAGAAATGTCTTACAGCTGCTGTATCAGTTTTTGTCTTCTTGCCATCTCTTCTACTCAGTATGTGGAGCCCAGGTCACGAGAGGTGTGTTTCTGGGTGATTTACCACAGGCATCCAGGCCTTCCTGTGTGCCTCATTACCCCGGGCTCAACCAAAATCCTGTCAGCCTCTGGCCCTGCAGCCAGGGGGGCACTTTGTTTGAATTGGCACATATAACCATATTTTCCCCTCCACATTCAATGGTGGAATTGCTTACAGAATGTGTTTCCTATTTAAGAAAGTAAAACAAAAGTGACTAGTTGGAAAGATGAGATCCATCGGTAGAATATTTTAAAAAGGGGGACAGAGTCTCCTGCAGTAATCTCTCACATTCATGGGAACCTACTGATGGATGCATGCAAGTACATCAGAAAAAAGGATGTCAAGAATTAGGCTTTTGTTTGTGCAAGTTCAGACTATGACCCTTAGAAAATTGATTGCTTTTCTTGCAAGTTCTTGAACATATTACATACTTTGTGCATCAGCTTGTCGAGACTGTCACTTATACCAGTTTTAATTTAACATGAACGTCCTTACTGCATGAGTTGATTGTCTTTTATTTTAGTTCAGCAGTGATGAGATCTGGCTTTACCCCACATGCTACATAGATGGAGAATTCAACATTGGGTAGTCGGATATTATCAGTGTTGACAGTCATTTGATCCTTGTGGTTTTCTCTCTTTCAAGACCTGAACCTCCCGGTCCTGGACAGACCAACGGCATCAGCACTCCTGAGCAGCTCACTGGACGCTTCCAGGTCAGAGTTGCAGCTTCACAGGAGCTTTAATCTGTCTACAGTTTGTCTTAAATACTGAACATCAACTTGATGTCCAGAGCAGCATTCTCCCTTTTTTTTTTTTTTTTTTTTTTTTTTTTTTTTTAAATCCACAGCCTCGCTCGGTGCCTGTTTTATGTGGATAATGTTTTGACTACACAGGGCATGCTGCTTGATGTCTACTAATGCATGCATGGCACATCTGTTTATTACATATCTGCTTATTTGGCTGTCCTCAAGATGGAAGCAATACAAGACGTTATGGTGATTTATTAGCATAGGGGTCGTTTGGTTCCTGTGTTTTATTGAGATCATAATGAATCCCAAAGCACCACCTGTAATACGTGGTGATACTGAGTACAAAGTCTGTAGTCTTTCTGTTATGCTTCTCACTTAAGCCGTTCACTACTGCACTAGTAAAGATCAAATTACTTTCAACTGATGATGCAATAACATTCCTCTGATGTGATGTTTTGTAGGAGGCAGTAATGGTGAGTAAAGATGAGAATCAGAACTACAGAGAGTACACCATCTCCAGCCCTGCGTCGCTGTCCCCTGGACCGTATTCATCAGATCCTTTTTCCAGCCCAGATGGGAAGAGGGAGAGGCTGACACCGACCCCTAACAAGAGGTAACTCACTTGCAATGCTTATTTAATGACGAGCAGGTTTCTGAGGCAGATAACAGCCATCTCCTTTAATGAAGAATCTACTCTGGACCACGAAGTTTGGACTTTATATAAATAAATTGCTTTAAAAAGCACAAGTGGAACTCTATTAGTGGCTTTGTTGGACAGATACTGAACCTTCAGCCAGCTTGTCCACTCCTGCATTGTTACCTTGCTTACCAATGTTGTAACAAAAGCACAGGATTATACTGTGTGGAGACTCTCATGTGATCTGGTTACTTGTAAATTACAGTTTAGGCAGTCGGCCTTTCAGCATGAACAGGGTAAAAGATAAAGTCCTAGGGCTTTTTAAGCTTGACATTTCAGATGGACAGTTGAGTCTCTTTTCAGAAACCTGTCCATTCACGACTTCAATAGGCTTACATGTGGACAAAGGGTTGCAACAAGTGCTCCCTTGACTCCACAACAGGCCCAGAGTCAATAGGTTTAGGCATAACGGACAGAAAGTGGAACCATGGGATTGTACTGCAGTAACAAAGGATATGCACAGGATATCACATTCCACCGTTTGCATTCACTTCAACAAAAGGCAGAATGTGGAACGTTCACCGTGCCGCTCGCTCTCTCTCGGTGCATGGCCATTCGTTGACTCTCCTGGACAACTTTAGTAGGTCAGTTAAAACTTAGATATCCTCCCTCGCCCCGCATTGATGAAGCTTCCTGCCCAGACTACTTCATTTCCATCTTGTGCTTAATATAAATAGAATTATAAGTGCTATTATATTGTTCTTCCATCTTAATGTTATATAATGGAACATTGATTTATGAGTAAACAGCAATCTGTTATTTCAATACAGCAGTCATTTTTGGAATTGTTTTTTCATTTTAAACTACTGTGGTTCTTCAAAATAAAGTATTCTGTGACATCAAACAGGACTTTGTACAGAGCTCCATGGGGAACCTGCATTGCCATAATTACATATTTAATATAATAATTATAAAAAGGGAAATATGGATAAAATCCTTTTTCACGGTATATGTAATTTTATATAACAATATTGTCCACTGTAATATATCTATCTATCTATCTATAATACAGTAGATTTGAAAAATCATGACGAATTATTAGTAAATAAAAGTACTTAATTCAAGTCATAATAAATCCAACATTGCAAGTCTGTCCTGCTTATTGATTCTGCAAAATTCTCCACAATAGCCCAATACCTCCAAAGATGCACCTAATTCGTTCTGTTACAGTTGGAAATTTGAAAAAAAGGGAATAATTTATATTATTACAGTTTCTGGCTATATGATAAATGGTGTAATTTTGCTGGGTTGTTTTTATAATTAAAAAAGAAAACATGCCTTTCAAACCCGCTGGCAGGTTCGTGGGGTTCAGAGGGTTAAAGGGATAAATTCACCACCACATAAACAATCGCAGAGGGATTTGCCCGTCTCATGTTATATATTGCCTTCACCATAATCACACATATGTCTGGTTGTCTCTCTGTTACAGTGTCCTGCTGCGTCCATGGTCTCCAGAAGACAAAAATCACAGTCTGTCCAGACCGCAGTCACAGGTTGGTTTCTGTTTTCTTAAACCAGACAAATTCTCTCTTCATTCCTTTAGTAAGTGCTGCTTTTGAAGCTTAGCTTGTTTAGTCATCAACTGTCCGCATCTTGGTATCGTATAGGTTTGGGACCTTGGAAGAGTACAATATACTGAACAAATACATGCACATTTTTAGATAAATGTGCATATAAATAATAGTTGAATGTCCTCCAAGTCAATCTGCCATACATCTGTAGCTGCAGTTCACTTGGTCAGTACAGCTGAAGGTTGTTGTACTCTCGTCTGGAGATCTGTATTCATTTCCACTGCACTGGCGCAGTCTGCAAGAATAACATGTCTGAATTCTTAGCCTTTCCTCTTGAATTGTTACTCTCCGATGCCAGAGAAGATGCCCAACAAAAGATTTGTGAGCTCAAGTGTACTGTATGTGTGGACTTAACAGTAAAGGCCTGGCACAGAGAGGGTTTGACATTTTTATTACAGGGAGTGGATAAACTACAAAGGTCAGTCTTTGAAATTATCTGACATTAAGCTGAACAACAGTCTGGAGCTGTTTCATTCAGAGCCTGCTCCAAGGGGAAAAATAATAATACTTTCCGTCAAAACAATGGCCTGAAGCTTTATTTGTCTGAATGGATCACTAGCAGTAAAATATGAGAAGTGGTCAAATACAGACTTGGGGTTATCATGAGACGGCATCTAAACTATGCGGTGCTTATTTACCATTCCAACAACAAAGCCAAGAAGGGGGGGAACTCTGCGTCTGGAAAGACTTCAGTAAGTTAAAGAGAGAACATGTTGTGGGAAAGTTCATCATGAGTTATTTCAGCTATGCCTACATGCTCAGTCCCAAGCATGGGTCCCACTGATAGAACATGTGAGGTGACACATGCAAGACCTTCTGTAATGGCACAAGGAATTCCTGCCATTTTTATACCACTGGACATTACATAAAGTTGGATAAATATGCAAAGGTTTGAACTTAAAAACATTCAAGCGTTCCTTCTAAGAGGCCGCTTGCTGAGAAAGTTAACTTTATAATTTCTCTTTGAGTTTGGGATTCTTTATGATGTTTACATGTTAAATGGAATTCAGGTGCACATGTCGCTCACAGCGGTGTCTCCCCCCCCCCCCCCCGAGACTGGTGGCTTACGTCAGAGTAGTTTTGATCTCTTTCACACTGGGAGAAAGATGAACCAGTCTAGCCATGATGTAATTGCCGTCCAAGTGGTGCCTTTGAGAATGCCGTCATTGCTTTATCTGAACATTTTTAACTGGTCTTTATCAAACTAAAATGCTTCTGTCAGTCATGATCACCATTAAATCGTGTCCCAGCAAAACATAGTCTTTAGGAATGCACAGCAGAGTCACTCCTAATAACTAATTTGATGTGACTGGAAAGCCACATGGCATGTGGTCTCCTTCCAAGTTGTTTTAGGACGGGGAGGGTTGAATCGGCTCTCTGACTGGCTCGCTGTTTCGGCAGATTAGACTGACATGAATGTGATATATGATGTTCATTTGGACGGCTGACACCTAAGGTAGACTGACGACAATAACGTCCTTACACTTGGAATTAAAATTGCTTTACTGTGCCATAAATCGCCTTGACTGAAAGGTAATTATACATACATACACACACACACACACCATTTGGAATTCCAGTTTTGGAGCTTTTAAAGGGGCACTACACCAATATTACACATGTCGATCAGTATACTTGTCACAAAGAGTACTACTCAGCCTGCGAAAACAGTTGTATAGTATTCTGTGTGGCTCTGTAGAGAGCTTTTTTGAAGTCTGTCATCGGGCTTAAGCCTGCAAACTCAACAGAAGTCTATTACAAACTTGGGGGTTGAGTTTAATAAACATGAGCAGGCAAAGAGGCTTCAACAAAGGAGTTGAGTTGCATTATAGGATTCATTGTTTTTGGAGCTGGACCCAAAGTAGGAACTATAGGTCAGGATACCTCAGCTTCTGTTGCTTCAATTTTGACCTTTACTATGAGGCCGACAGCCATTATGCATTATGTTTTCGGGTTACAACATCAGGGTGGTAATTTAGTGCAGCTAGAAAAAAGCGTTTTAGAAAGTCTGTTTGAAATGAGCATGAATAGTTCGGGTGCTCAACTTGGCTTACTGATATTTTATTTTAGGTTTATCGGTGGATTATTTCTCACTGAAGGTATTTTAAGCCTCTGTTGCATACAGATGCTGATGTTTTCAACATCAATTCAAAACCATGTTAAAAAAAAAAAATTCCACTGTGGAGTTGTAGAGGCCGCGGCAGCAAGCCATGGTGGAGCAGACTTCCGTATTGGCCGACCAAAAAACACATTCGAAGCTGTGTTGTGGCTGAGGGTTCCATCTGTGAGTCCTTAAGAATGAACGCTCTCCTGTCAAAGCCATCTATCCGTGACGGCCTCGCATGTTTGTGGTATTTATGGAGTTGCCCATTCTCCCATTCTGCTTACCATTTTTAAATTGACCATTTTGTCTCATTTTCCTGATGTTGGAATCCGTATCGTCTTGGATCCTCTGGGAGACATTACATTCCTTCTATCTCCCTCTTCTCCAATATCAACTTGGCCTTTTTTGGCTTTTTTTTTTTTTAAACTGTTCCTTCAGTATGTTTGAATTAATATCAAACTACATTATTTGAGAAGACTGCAATTTGGGGTTGTTTAACCACTGCTTTGTCCACCCTTTCCTACTTCTTCTGGTCTTAAAGCTGCTTTGGATTGCTTGCTCTGCCGTCTGTGCCTGACAGCCTCAGTGTTTACCATCATCCAGCCTAGTGGATGAGATTTTTGGGTTTTGGCTGACCCCCATCCTCCAAGGGATGTCTACCCTGGTTTTAAAGTGGTGAAGAGCCTCTCGCCGCAGTGCTGTGATTAGTGAGTGGAGTTCTTTCAGAGCTTCTTGTGGGGAAATGGCTGGGAAGAGGTCTGCCATGAGTACATGGTGCATTATGCTGCTTGGGCTGGCAGGAACACGGCAGCCCAGTGAGCGCCAAGATGTGGAGCCTCCATGACAAGGGCCTCTGTCTTGCCTGAGAGGTGCAGAGTGCTGCTGTATCAGGTGATCAGCCTCTCAGAAAAAGCTCCTAAAAGGCTTTTCCACCCTTGTTTTGGCTCCCTGAGTGGGGAGAGTGGGATGCGCAACAGAATCCATCATTTTCCAGGGTGTTGGATGCCCTGAGGAAAAAGCTCATGTACAATAGTGGCTGTGATGGCAGAAGCTGTGGAAGGCTGGTGCTGCTCTTTCCCTCGCGTCACAAGGCCTGTCGTTGTGTGATGGGAGCTGGAAGAGACGGGGTTTGGGGTGGACACCAGGAAACCTGATGACATTCCCAAACTGTACTTAAGCCATCATACCATCCTGCTCAAACGCAGCAATCTGGACTCATCATGGAGTCCAGACTGTCTTCATATTGTCACACATGCTCTGTGTGTTGCTAATAAGATTATAATTGCTCTGTTAAAAATGTTCTCTGCACTTCATGTCTTTCATATACAAAAGCACTTGACTTGAATGCGCTTCATTGAAGAATTTTGGCTATTTCTCCATATTTTACATGACCATGCATGTGTAGTGTCTGTGGATTAATTTAGATTCTTGTTTGCGGTTGGTGCGTCCAATGTTTGTATTTGTCATTACCTTTTTAAACTTGGCTGTAAAATAATTTCCCCTTGGGCAAGAATGTCTGTATTGACCTTTACAGTTCCCATACTGTAGACAATTGGCCACTTGAATGACTGTTTTTCAGGAAATGTATACAGTGCATATTGTTCAAGAGCTCTAAAGGGTAGTTTGTTGACTAAGCAAAGGGACCTTTTAATCAAAAGGCTTGTTACAGGAAGCATTCATCCAGCTTACCCTGACCTTTCACCACCTTAAGAGGAAATGCAAAGAAAACGGAGATATAAAATGCATTGTTATAGACGTGTGTTGGAAACCCCTGTAGGAATAAGGTAGTTCATTCCATTTTTGATTCTAAAGTGCCATTGATGCACATTATCAGTTGTAACTTGTAGTTCTGTTTTATCATGCCATGATGGGACAGGACTTTAAAATCTACTAGCTCACAAAAACAGCAAGGGCATCCTAGATTCCTGCAAGCCGGGCATGAGATTGTATCTGAACTAGCCGCCACCGTCATGATTCAGAGCATCTGTTTATATCATCAAGGAATGACCACAACGGGATCTCTGTTGCGATTAGCAGAGCCAAGACCAAACTGCTTTTCATGAGACATGACCCGTCGCTGGGCCATTAGGACCAGGCTCCATGTCTGGGTTTGCAGTTGCTGCACTTTGAGGTTCCTGAGGGTTGCCTTAGTGGGCTGCCTGATCCTGTGCTGGCATTGGGTGGTTTCTTTATAAATATCACTCCTAGTGTAGGATGGCCAGCTCCTGCAGGGTGACACCCGTGCAGACCAAACGTTTTCCTCTTTATGCTAAATTGGGAGGAGTGACCCTGGCTGTGTGACATTTCTCACCAATCTCTTTATCCAGAGAGGGCAGGGTAAATATCCTTCGACACATCCTCCATCCCATACATTACTTTGTCCACTATTCTCCGTGCAGCCTGCATGCCAGCGGCTGGCTTTGTCCTGCTCTATTCTGGAGGTTGTGGTGGACTGGAGTGCAAAGCTGCGGTCATCCCTTTGGAGCAGAAATAAAGACTTGGCATGTAGGAATATAACTAAGTTTATGTTTTTAAATTAAGTCAAAATGTTATAACGCACGCACTGTTTGTTAAGAATTTAATTTATTAGAATGTTTTTATCTTCAGGACTGGAGACAGGAGATAAATGCACCTCACCTGTTGACTGGCTTCTCCTCCAGCCTTAAATACAGATGTGCATTTCGCCTCTTTGAGGATGATTGCTTGGAATGATGTACCATTCCATGTCTCACATGAGTCGGGCTGTTGTTTGGTTTGGCAGGCCGGTGCTAAGCCAAGCCAGTGTCAGGGGAGTGGCGCTGGCCGTGGTCACAGTAGA